TCTCACCATCGTCACCTGAGGCAGGAACATCTTGAAACATTGATCTATTTGCTGCTAGCTTTCATTAATTTCATCCATCCCTGAAGGTGGAGCTACATCGATGCCTGCTAATTAAGACCTATTTAGAGCAGCTCAGAGTCTTTTATCAGTGTAGAATTAGCTTTGTACTTTTAATGGCGGCTACAGCTTTCTCAATTATTACTTAATTAAAAAATGAGCCTACATTGGTCCACACATCTCTAAAGCGACATGCAAGCCATGATTGCCTGCCTCCCTATAGGTAAGCGCTGTGTCTCACATTGGTGCTCTATTGATTCACCGGCAGACTCACCATTCCTTCTGCATCTCTACATCGCAGGCACCCAAGCACGCGCTTCATGTGCCACTGTCAGCTCAATAGCGCCTCTAGGGTGTTTCCGTCTTAAGATGGATTAATGAAAATACACAGATGTCAACAGGCGAATATTGCTCATGCATACCAATCACTCAGAGGGCAGAAAGATTCATTTTGGCCAGATTGTTCTGAATAAAAGATCTTCCACTGCAAAGATTTCTGGAAGAGTTCTATAGAATTTTTAATTTTTGTTTTCCGGATATGTATTTTGTAAGTGAAACTTTAAAGGTAGCCACTGCCCCAAGGACCTAGAATTCCAAAGGAAACTGGGACTCAGAAAGTAAAGGGCATCAGCCTGCTGGCTTAACTCTGCCCACTTTCCGCACAAGCACATCTCATGATAAGTCAAATAATTACAAGTAAAACTAATGAGAAATCAGATCAAATTTCATTTGGCTTGAAAAAAATATAAATATACTTGTGAGTTGGTCAGACGTATTCTAAGAAATGTAGCAGTGTACATGTTTCTCCTACCTCATTTTCCTCTTTGAGGAATCCCTTAAGACCAAAATTGAACCCCTGGAAAAATGAAAAGACGCTGACCTTTGTTGGGAAGGTTATATTTTTAAAAGAGGATTTTGATAATTTTTAAGAAGTGAGCTGAGAAGAAAAATTTTCTTTGCAGAGCTCCAGCTGATAATTTTTTCTGCCATGAATCACTTTACTAGTGACATAAAGTTTTCTAAATTCTATAAATTATACATAATGATGGTGACAGGATCTCTCCATTAAAAAGTTGATGATAAAAATATGGTCTTGTGGACAGGTTTCAATGAGTGCAGGGAACAAAGAAAACCACTTTATGACAAAAGAACAAGGAAATTCACAGTCCTTCTCCCCTATTCCTTCAGGCCAGTGGTGATATACCATGGGACCCACTTCTGGCTACATAAGAGGAGAGTGTTAGAAACCACTGGGGGATTTAACAACACACACTTCACGAGTAAAGACTTACAGGGAATCCTGTCACTAAAGCATCTTCTTTGGTGCAAAATAATCCTAGGATGTTGGCAATAATCATGCAGCTTACTGTGCTACTGTTCTTCTCCCAAGAATATTATGTATATGTTGTGGGACAAAGCAGATGAATGATGACATTGGTGTTTCTGGGGCCTAGGATTGCCACCACGGTCAAAAGGAAGAGCTAGATAGGACAGATGAGTTAAAATAAAAATCTTGGGATGCTGGGTTTGAAATTATAGTTTCCTTTGAAAATCAATCACTTTATAATTCTTTAAATTGTATTGTTTGTATTATGTTATATTGTTTATATTCTAACTGTCCACTGAAAAATCCAAGAGACCAAGTCCAAGCCATAGTGTTGAAATCATGTCCTCTGAGCTCTGAGCAGGGGCAAAGATCCTGTGGAGATACCTGAGCTCAGGTCTGCAGCGGGATAAGTGTAAAAGAGCTCAGAGCTATTAAAGATGACCGAGGCACACCAGGAGGACTCGAAACCAACTTGGAGAGCTTCTCCCAGGCTAATGTAGGGCAATTTGAACAGGAAGAAAATGTTTTAATTAATTGAAATATCACATTTCAAATATGTTAGTCTTTAAATCAACCCATAAATATTGATAACAATAAATGCATGGCTCACCACTGTAGAATGCTAGAGATCTGATTCATCAAAACTAACAAACACAGAAGACACTGGTCCTGGATTCTATCTTGTAGCAACCAAATGCTTAGTGGGGGCGAGCTTCTCTTCATAAAGTCCATCAGCTGATAAATGAGAAAGCTGTGATGAAATACAACCATTTTGCAGCCATAATACATGACTGGGTTTAGACAAGGATCTCTAGTGGTTTTTGGCAGAATAAGAGAGAAAATAAGACATTATTTCTTTTTGATAGACTTGCTGGACTACCTTAAAAGGCTTGGCAAAGGACTGGAACTCAATATAATCAAACCTGGATGCAGAAATACTAACATAGAAGAAACACCATGGAAGTATAATTGGCAAACTTAGATTGTAGAAAATACCGTGAAACTGATGACTAGGTTTCTCTAATAGCAGAAAGACTGAGGGAGGGGAAGAAGGAGGAGGAGGGAGGAAAGAAGGAAGAGGTGGACAAGGAAGAGGTAGAGGAGGAGAGACCAAAAAGAAAGAGGGAGGGATTGAAAGAGGAGTAGCCATACAGGTCAAGACATGTAAGAAACAACAGTTCATTACAACACATGGAACTTATGCTAATCTAGAGCCAAATGAATTGTTAAAATATGTTAATGAGACAATTGGAGAAATTTGTTAACTAAGCATCTAATAATACTAAGGATATATCAAAATTATAGGACACTGGCATTACAATTTTTGATTGCTTACCTTTCAGCAGTACATATTAAATGTTGTGAATGAATTACATGATTCTGAGGTTTGCTTTACAATAATGCTTGGGGAGGGAGAAAGCATTCAGAAGTAAAAATGAAACAAGATTGGACATGAGTAAATGATTATTTGAGCTTAGTGGTAGCTATATAGAGGTTCAGTACACTACTAGTTTCAGTTTTATAAGTTTGACATTTTCACTCATAAAAAATTCCCTAAATCTATTGTTTGAAATTTGTTAATGAATGTCAGGCACCACGGGAAACCTTAGACAGTACGTCTTTAGCACAGCTAAAGTTAGAGCACAGGTTTAAATTACCACGAGGAGAGCAGCCTTTGAGGTTTTATGTCACTATCCATGCAGCTTTTACTTAAATTATCCATTCTGGCTATTTTCTAAAACACTAGCATCATTATTTTGTGCCTGGTTATAGTACTCGGCAAAGCAACCACAGAGTAATAGACTCAGTTGGAAAACCCCCCACAAGAATTCATCATAAGCTGAAAAGGAAACTTAAAACATAAACTTATTTTGATAATTCCGCCAATTGAATGATACTCGAAATTAATTTTTACCAAATGAACGAAATTGCCAACTAATTTCCCCACTATACAAACAACTCCCCTTATTAGTCAATAAGAAAACACTCTCCCAAAGCTGCTCTTTCTTGGTTCTTGTACAATCCAAACGTCTGTGATAGCACCATCACAGGGAAATCTCATGGCAGAAGCTAGCATGGTATTAGCACATAGAAACAATCATCACACGGAGCTTGTCTCTGATAACCCAAAGGATTCTGGGGCTTGTAGTCATGACTGGAGGATACCCTGAGGGCTAACTCTAATGAAAGACCAAATATATCTAATTAACTGCATTGCTCTGGGCTAGCAAGAGACCAGAGGCTTCCAAAGCCCCTTAAGAATAGTCATATTAATATAGAACAGTGCTACATGAGTGCATGGTTTTGAAGTACTATACCTTCTACTGCTTTTAGCTCTACTGCCTTCTTTCTGAACATCTTCTGCTACAGCAATCTAAATCTAAGCATCCTTGAGATTCTTTTCACTAACTTTAATAGTAGATGAACCCATAATATGGCTTTTGCCATTGTGCATGTTTTATGAAGCTGTGTGTTTTGGTGCCCAGGAGTGGAAAATGTTAAATTCAAATCAAACCACATTATCAACAGGAGAGTTAGTTTATCAAAGATTTTTAAATAAATACTAGCATTGAAATTGTATCTGAAAATTCTAGAAACTGCTCCTCCTTAAGATGATAATGTAATATCGTTAAAACTTTACATTTAATAATAATGAATACATTTTGAGGGAATCGGTATATTGCAATTATACTTGATTATCATAGATCATTGAAAACTTTAGCCGTGTGTTTCAATATCTTCCTTAAGCAATTTTTTATGAGAGCTAAGTGTATGCATTAAGCATGACTGGCTAGTAATACTGCTTCTCTCTACTGGTTATCATTCTAAGGAGGACAAAATGAGGCAGAGATGAGGGAGCTAAAAATGGTGGCAAGAGCAGCAACTGGAGGAAGTAGGGAGGGTAAAACGAGGCCAGCAGGCTGGAACAGGGAGTAGAAGGGTTGTTCACAGAATGTTGGAGGAAAAAAATGAATGTAATTAAAAAATTGCAACTTGGACTTTGGATAAATAAGCAAAAGCTATTTATACCTTCTTTCTTTTCAAGAATATAACTGCTAATGATTTTAAGTAGCGCATAATTTCAATATGGTATTTTGCTTAACATGTCAGGTCCCAAGTTAGGGTATTCAAGATCACAGCTTCTATTTGTATGCAAGACGCTCTGCACTCTGATGAGGGAATCAATAGCCTGTTCTCTGTGCAGCCTCAGATAAAAAAAAAACATTGTGCCACAATTTCCAGAGGAGTTTAGGTCAATGCTTTATGCTGAAGTAGCTTGTGATTTCCATGTTTCGAAACAGAAGCATGTAGACTTCCTCTTTCAACTGAAATCCAATTTAATCAATAGCAAATTGAGCTTCATAAGAAAAGATCTAAAGCTGTCCTGGGAAAGCACCCAGCGTTTCTTGGAGCTTCCCACCAATTAAAATGGAGTGAACAGAAGGCGGTGTAGGTGGAATTAATGGGACCTAGCTGCTGGCGCATCACGTAATGTAATAGTCAAAAACACATTCCGATCAGTTTAAAAAATAACTCTGTTCATTTCATAGCTAGCAATAGGAGTCAACAAAGATTTAGCCTAAAAGACAATAAGATAGCTTCAGAGAGCACTTACCTATCTTTCCCAGTTTCTTTCTTAAAAATGCCATCACAGTAACTCATGCGCTTTTCTGTGGTCACATAAATTTGGGCATTTGGATAGACATCAACTGTCTTTTTCAACATGTTGTAAACGATTCCATTGCCATCCTTCCTCATATTGCGGAAAGGACCCCAAATAACATAAATGGTGGTGTTTGCTTCTTTGAAAAAATAATCAGGATTTTTTAGCAAAAGAGGAACGCTGGTGTGGGACACAACTCGAATCATCGTCATGCGGCCAACGTCTTCTTCGTAACCCTTGGTGGGCGCGCTGTTCATTCTCCAGATGCAGGAAGACCTGTCTATCTCATTTCCTACCTTCTGTCCAACCATCTGGCCCGAGTTTGACACGATGGCACACAGTTCACAATCCAGCTGTAACGGCTGAAAAACAGAGAAAGAGGACAAGTGGTACATTTCACCCACTCAGACAAATTCTTCTGGCAAACAAAACGCTGATATTGTTTAACTGATGAATATGGAAATGTTTCTGAAGTGTCTATGCTAATTCTATAGTCTCTGCTGTAGAGAGTAGTCAAGGCAGTAGCACGCTTCCATTGAAAAAGCAAACATATACCATTAAAATCATTTAAATTTCTCTCATTATGTGGAAATATAAAATTGTGTGGGAAAAGTCACTTGTTTTCCACTATAAATGATTTTTTTAAAAAAAATTCACAAGTCTAACTTCAAGCACAATGAGGAGATACATAAAGATTTGCTCTAGGTAATAAGGTTGGTAGCTATAAAAGAAATAGAAAAGAAATGTATTCAACCATCAATATATATTTTAGTTAGATAAATTTATGGCTAGGTAAGAGGCTGATAAAAATATGAAGAGTCCAACAGAAGATGAGGTTCTGAAGTCTGTCAGGACCTAGAAATGCATGGGGCTGGCAAAGAATTACAGAGATTCTTAATAATTTCCCCCGAGTTACTATGCAAGTTGGCTTTTGTGCTCTTATTCTAGGTGGGAAAGGAAAGGCTTCCTCTAAAAGCACAGGGAAGGCATGTATGCAGAGGAGCTCTACACCCAGGCTACCTGCTCTGCACTGGTTTTCAATCATGGTGGTGACAGGGATACTGAAGAATAAAACATTTGCCTTCAGGACTTGCAAATGACAAAGTGTCAGTGGCAAATTTGAATCTAGATTTTTTTTTTAATTTCCATTTATTTTTTGCGCTTGGTGTAATGTCTCTTTTCAATATGGAAAAAAAAAAGCAAGTTCAACACAAAATAGAAAGCTAAGTCCTACAGGACAGGACAAAGTCAAGGGTGAGGCAATAGCAAGAGATGATGGGAGATGCCCTCTTGGCAGTGAATCTAGATTGTGTTAATGGTAAGCCCGCTGTGCTTGCTGCTGTTCCCTGCTTTCCTCCTACCATAGTCACGGTACTTACTTTCACTGCTTTCCTCCCACTTGAAAAAGTCATCTCATCTTCAACACGGATAAGCAAACAAGGCTTTGTTGATAAACATCTTTTTCTTCAATGAAATTCTATATTTTTATGCTGAAGTTGCATTGTGCCCACTGGGGAGTAGCCCCTCTCTTGTAAGACCCTGTCCTTACTTTACCATATGTTATTCTTTATGTTTCTTAATTATGCCTGTCCACTACATAGTAAATCCTCAGGAACAGGTCTATCTTCATTTTAACCCCACTCCCCAGAGGCCCCTGGAATACATTAGGTACTTGACTCACTTAAATTAAGAAATGAAAGAAAGCCAATTAGTTTATTAGGAATCTGAGCACTGAGCTCAACATTAGGGAAGAAATGGACTTTATCAATTAATTTAGAGTTCCTGACTTAGATGAAAGGAGAAAAGCAAGCCAGAAGAAACAGGTCCGGTGGCAGCAGGGTCAGTCTCGGGGTCACAATCTGGGTGGAAAGAGGAGCAGTGAGTAGCTCAGAGGACGCAGGGGACAGTTCTCCCACTGCGAGGGTCCACCTTTGCTGTCTGCGGGGGGTACTCGCAGCTGTTAGGGGTACCTGCTGTGCTGGCGAACACAGTCCCAGCAGAATCAACTGTGGCAAAATTGAGAAACAAGAGACTCCCACCATACTACAGCATGCATTCAATTTCAGTGCGGCCAAAGTGAGCGCCAGAATGCATTCAATTTGGGGAAATAAAATAAGACAGAAACCTATATAATAGGATAATATAGCAAGGGTTTTTAGTGCTAAACTGAAAATGTAAGCAAGGAAGAAGTTTATGAAGTGTGTGTGTGCGCGTGCACACACACATGTGCATGTGTATGGGTGAATATGTGTGTAAAGTGAAAGAGCTGGCCTAGGGGATATTTAGGGAAAAAGTTAATGCAAACACCATAAGGAAGATGACAGGACAGCAATATGAACTGGCAAAGCCAGGGGCAGCAGGAAGTAGCTGCTGAGGCCAGACCCTCGGGTGAGAAACGCGCAGGGCCTCTGACCTGTGCCACAAGGAGTGGGAGGGGGCTATAACACAGGACTCACAGATCTGAGTGGTATTCCAACAGCTTTGGCTGCTATGTGGAAAAAAGTGGCAAAAGTTGAAGTAGGAAGAGCAGGCTGTAGCCACAACACCAGGTAGAGGAGACACTGGCTGCAGATGAGGTGGTTAGCAAAGAAGGCGTGGAGGAGCTGTGGATTCTTCTGCAAGCAGTGCGGGTGGAGTGGCCTAGAGACTGAATGTGTGCATGTGGGCATGCAAGAGCAGTACCTAAGACAGCCCCAGCTGTTTATCAGAAGGAAGCAGAAGACTGGGGCTTCCTGCAGCCAAGAGGGAGGAGACAGGGTACAAACAGAGGTAGAACTCAGGGAAGGGAGGCAGCAGCTCCTTTCTAGACTAGTTCAAAGGTTGTTGTGGTTGTCTTGGGGATTAAACCCAGAGCCTTTTCACTACACTATAGCATCAACCTTTATTTCTTAGTCACTCTCATTAAGTCTCCAGGTATCCCAAACTGAGCTCAAATTTATGATCCTCCTGCCTCAGCCTCTCAGAGTGCTGAAATCACAGGCACGCACCTCTGTGTCAAGCTGCAGGTAGGTCTGCAATGCCTTACATGGAGACCATGGCATCTAGTGTTAGCACAAAGGTATTCAAAGTTAAAGAATTAAAAATATGGGGCTGGAGAGATGGCTCAGTGGTCTAAAGCACCTACTTAGAACAAGCTTAGCAAAAGCATCAGGGACCGCGGTTCAATCCCCCAGCACCACATGCCAGCCAGCCCTGCCCCCTGGTGGGCTGAGCTGGCCTCTCTTACTCTCTCTCTCTCTCTCTCTCTCTCTCTCTCTCTCAAATAAATAAATAAATTAAAAAAAAGAATTAAAAATAATGGAAAAAAGACTAAAGATGCCCTATTTCCATCATTCAACAATTGTTACAAGCTGGGCCCTGTGGCACATGCCTGTAATCCCAGCACTCAGGAGGCAGAGGCAGGAGGATTGCCATGAGTTTGAGGCCAGCCTGGGCTACATAGGGAGTTCAAATCCAGCTTGAACTACATAGGAAAACCCTGTCTCAAAAAATAAAAATTCTAGATGCAACAACTATTACAAATATTTCATTATTCTTCCTCTTTCTACATAGATTATTTTAGGCACACTGAGAAATTACAAGATCCGGCAACGTTGGTTTATGCCCATTATTTCATATAATTAGCATCCCACATCATTAATATAATCAACTGCTCCTAAATAGTCCTAGACAGTTTTAATGCCTGTTACTCCATTATATACATATAGAATAATGCATTTATTTCCCTACTACTGTGCATTTAGCGATTTTTAAATTTTTTTTTTTTTTTAATTTTTTTGCCGAACCGGAGATTGAACTCAGGCCCTTGTGCTTGCTAGGCAAGTGCTTATTCTAATAAGCCATCTCCCCAGCCCACATTTAGCTATTCTCTATTTTTTCATACTATAAAATGCTTTGATAAACATCCTTTTGTTTCCTGATATATTTTAGATACTAGTGATTATTTGTAAATTTAAACTTCTCTTTGGTTTAGTCTTTGCTGTGCTCCTACAAAATACACTAGACAATGCCACCTGTTAATTTGAGTTGTTCAAACTAAGAGTTAAATAAAAACATGCTGAACCCCTGAAGGTCCATTTATAAGGTGTCCTGAGGCTCAGCTGTGAATCTGCTGTCATCTCTACTGCAGTAAGGATTGTAAACCACAGGGAGCAGCAGGTGCTCCAGGTCTCAGGTTAGAGTAGGGCCACTCAAGGTGGCGAGTACATTAGGACATTTGGAAATGGGATTTTATAATTTAATGCCACAGTGCAGTTAAATGGGAGGCACAACAGATGCCTTGTAGGGTCAGGACTGATCTTAGACCCTTCCTCACCCACTTAGGACCCTAGAAAACAAGGAAAACAAGGAGAAACACAGTATCCTTCCTGCCAGGGAGCCAATGGCAGGGCCATCACACAGAGCTGAGTACTCCAACCCCAGGGTCGTGCAATCAAGGTCTAATTTGAATCGTGTGTGTATCAGATGGCCAACTCCATCTTATCGCCAAGATTCATATGGTGGAAAGAAGTTACGTTCCATTTACTGGTGCAAAAAGTTGCTTCATTGGATGATAAAGACCTGTGTGGAGTAGAGCGGCCACAAATTGAAAAAAAAAAAAATCAAAAGAAAGAAAAGGCCTGGGATGTGCTCCATACAATGTGACAATTTGCATTGGATTTCCCAGTCATTACAGAGAATTATCCAGTTCTGCTCTAACAAGGCTTAATTTAACTAATAAGAATCAGCATACTGGTCTCACTTGACAACTGTAACCTCTGAAAGTGATCAATTAAGACATCACAATCTGTTTCGTGACAACATATTGGGAGGCGGCAGCTGTGCACATTATGAGGTCAGCAGCTGACTAACAACTGAGGGCGAATGCTGGGAACAGTCTCTTGTTTATATGACAAATATGTAATGGGGGAGCGTGCTGTGACGTTGTGGCCTAGGGGGCATTGGCGATCTTCAAATGGCCCCTTCTCCTCTGCCGTTCCCCAGGCGACGAAGTCATGAAGGCTGGTGTCTTAGAAGACTCATGTGTGCATATTTGGCCACACACTGCCTGGCTATCTGAGTTCCTGGATGAGGATCCCAAGGACACTGCTGCATATGACCACTGCTCTATCTGTCTCTTAGCTACAGCCACCATATTTAGAGAATGTCAAGGCACAGGGCCCAATGAATGAAAGATTCCTAATCACAATCGAAAGCTTCCTCTGCAAGAAGAGCTGGTGATGGCTCCAGGGATATATACATACATTTGAAGGCACCTTCAAACTTCATAAGCCATGATAAAAAGAAAGAAATAGCTAGGCATGGATGCATAGCCTGACCCAAGAGCTGCCTTATCTAGTTATCCTTTATTGTTACATTTTTT